AGAAGTGCCGTTCCCGGCGCATGCAGGAGGTTCAGCAGCACCTGCTTCAGTTGGTTCCGGGCGATCCACCGGTCTGGAGGACTCCCTGGGATGACTCCCCTCCACATGACGGCGCGGCTGGCGCTGCTGGTGATGATGCATTCATGGATGACATCGACTTCACCGATCTTGGCGACGAGTAGGCTGTACTCGTTGCCCGTCTCAGTGTGTTTGTTTTTGTTTTTTTTTAAGACTTTTGAGTGTTTGCTCCATGTGTGCGGAGCTTGGACTTAGTGTCGGTTGTTTTTTTTTGCTTTTGGTTTTTCATTTGTGGTTTGATGTAGCCGTCTGGGCTAACACTTATCCCTAACACCAGTGTGCTAGTGTTCTGATGTTCGATTTGTGCAGCATTGACCACTCCCCCGTTCGTTTCTCGCTGACTGGTCCACTTCCAGTCCCCCAGCAGTGTTCTTACCCGGTAACATCGTTCCCCCTTCTCTTTCCCTCTACTCCATTGAGGGCAATGTCGTGCTTAAGTGTGGAGGGATGTTCTGTATCGGTTGGAATATTTTAGATGGTGCTTGGAGCCTAGTCCACTGTCCGAATCTTACGATTTGAGGGCTCCAAGTACTGCTGTTTGATCATATTGGCACTGTGTTTTGATGGATGAATTGATTGGTTTTCGGATTAATGCATGACAACTTGTTTGCGACTAGGACAACCTATGATGAGGACTGAGATGTGCAGTAGAGCGATGTAGGGGTTCAGTTTTTCAACTGTTTGCTTGCCAACTGTGACTTGATCTGACTTGATCTGATTACTTGTTCTTGACAGTCGTTTATGCATCTAGTTCAGGGTATCAGAATGTGAGATAGAGCATATAGGTAGCCATGTGAGATTTGAGCCTGCTCGTTTCTTTCTTGTGCGATAGATCCCTCTTCCATGATGTGTAGCATTCACGTTGTCACTAGCTAAGATGATGGGGGCATAGGATTAGCCCACGACCAAAATTGACTGTCCTGATGTGTCATATCCCCTAGTCAGCCCCTTTGAGCCGTGTGTTATCCTTTCTTTTGGTCTATAATGGAAAAAAAATCACCCTTATTGCATCTGTTAGAAGGTTCCACAGAGTGGTTTTTATATATTCTCTGCTGTTTCTGCTAAAGTCTATGTGAGTGTTGGAGGTAGTGCTTAAAAGTTGGGCAGGTGTTTGAAATTTATGCAGAAGTGGTGGCTCTCTTAGGAAATGAAAAGAAAAATGAAACAAAGAAAAAAATTGAAAGCAAAAGAGAGCCACTACCAAAAATCTGAATAATGCCCAGTAAGTAGTGTTTCTTAGCAGTCTGGCTTGGAAATACTGATGTTTATGCCTCCTTCGCTCTTGTGCTCTTAAGATATTAAGTAATGCAGGATAGCAGAAAGAAAATACCGGGTTGTTGACTGTGTTTGTGTGTTTGGGAAATGTGGAACCTTTTGCTATGAATACTTCCACCACCTAAAAGGCCTTTTCCCCATGTCCAAGACCCTAGCCAGTCATTTGAACCTGTGTCTAAGACCTCCTGATTAGTTAGTGGTGACACCCCATATGTGAACTCTAGCATTTAGAGGCTGCCATCATGGTGAAGAGATGATAGGATTGAGAGAAATAGCATGCGCATCTTTCGCATCAAATTGTCCTGACCCCACTGGTCGAGAGTGAGTGATTCATTTTCATTTTCTATATGCTCTTGTACCCCGGTGAGGACCTAGATTGCTCGGTCTCTATTCTGATGTTTTGAGTTGGATGCATGAGTTGACTGTTTTGAGTAAGTGGTTGAATCGAGTCTAGGTTGGCCAGTGAACAGAAGGGAGACTCTTCCTTTACTCGATTTGCTGCACTCGAATGTCCTTTGTGGTGGTTGTCCAGGTTGTTATTGAGGTTGTGCATGTATTGATGTTTGAAAACCAGTGCGATTCACGTGTTTTGTGCCTTTATGACTTGTCCCCAATGTTGGTTGATTGAAATATGTAAGCTTACCTAGTGTCTGACTTGGTTTGCTTGGGGACAAGCAAACGGTTAAGTGTGGGGGAGTTTGATAGACCGTCATTTACACATGTTTTTACCCTCATACTTACACCGTTTGAGGTGTTGATTCTCGTGTTTTAGGCCGATTTCACGCTAGGTTGTGCTTGGTTGTGTTATTTCAGGTCTTAGTACGTGAATGAAGGCTTAGGAGCGAGTCTGGGGTCGATTGGACGAAGAACGGACGAAGGGCGAGCTTTTGGAGGAGTGCACGGGCAGACCAGGAGGCTGCACGGCCGTGCACATGAGCCATTTGGCCGTGCGCCTCTGGCCGAGGCCATGCACGGGCACAATCCAGGCTTGCACGGCCGTGCGCCTGGCCGTGCAAGAAGGCTGAGCTCCAAATAAATGAAACGGTGCGTTTTGAGGGTGCACGACCAGAATGGTGTGGTGCACGGCCGTGCACCTGCCCGTGCAACTCGGGGAGACCGGTTTTAGTGCCTAATCCGAGCCAAAAGTGGGAGAATCGCGTTTTGAGAGCAAAAACAGAGCCCTAGAGAGAGAAAGTGCGAAGAACTCATCCTAGAAGCTGTCTTGGAGCTGGATTTCATCGAATCGAGCCTGGAGATCGTCATAGGAGTGAACATCATCGTCCCGGAGCAGATTATCCTCATCGTTATGAGTATGACTAATCCGATTCTTGTTTTCTCTTCTCTCTCTATGGAGTAGAACCCTTCTCTCACTTGGGTATGAAGAACCCTAGTTCCTGATGTTAGGGATTTGATTGTAATGACTTGGGATGATATTATTGTTTGATTTTAATCGAATGACGCATGTTTCATGAATTGATTTGAGTCTGATCAGCTTGTCTCAATTTCTGCTTCAACCTGAGATAGATAGAATCTGATTAGGTTGTTAGAGCCTCTTCATTCGATAGTAGGAGATTGGCTATACGAGAGTTAGCCAGTGGACTACTTTGTACTGGTGTTCTTGACGCCAGTAGTGGAGTTCTGTGTTCATAGCCTCAGCTTTCTATCCCGGTGAAGACTAGTCGTCTGCCGGGTAGTTAGACTGAGAGGGCTTGGTCAGCTTAAGAGATTCCAAGCTACTGTCGGATCTTCCGCAGTCTAATCAACAGTAAATCAACCCAGGAAATTGCAATTGAACCTAACTAAGGGGCTAGGGGGACTCAATCCCGAGTGACTCTTACCTGCTTTAGAAACCCGAACAATTTACTGCTTTCTTGTTGCTTTTACTTTTCACAACAATCACTCGACTTAGTTTGCTAGATAATAGAGAATCACGGAGTAAGCAGTAGATCTAGACCCCGGGTTGATAATTAAACTTGCCTGTTACTGCATTCCCGGACTGCGATTACACTTGGTCGCAGTTTGGTGTTGTGTTTTGGCGTGTCAATAGGCATGTTTAAATAGGAAAAATTCAAAAATACCACTGTTAAAAAAAAATTATAAAAACACCACTTAATGGAAAAAATTTCCACTTCTACCACTATTTTCTAAAAACCGCTGCCTTGGAAGACAGTTTATACGCAAACCGTGCTGCAAGGAGGCGGATTGTGCTAAACCCTAGCAGAACCGCCTTGGGAGGAGGCGGTTTTAGTGACCGTCGAATTAGGAGCCGATCTGACGACAGGCCGTTTGCCAACTCAGCGGTTCGTGTCTTGGTGACGGAACCGCCCCCTCCAGCAGCGGTTTTCAAGAAGCACAACCAAAACCGTGGGTGGGGGACACGGTTTTTGGGTTGCAAAATTACAAAACCGCCCCCCCACCCCATGGTTCTGAAACTATAAATACCCCCCTCCTCCTCCCCATTTTTTCACACCAAAACCCATTCTCTTCTCTCTCTCTAAGATTAGTACTCTCTAACATTCCCCTCCCCACCCAAAAAACTAGGAAATAGTGGTTTGTTGGTTGCGGCTAAGTCCGAACTGCCATCAGAAAACATTTTCGAGTTTTTTCCTTCAAAACCCGTCGAATCTCTGTCCGATTCCTGAAAATATGACCGATTTTATCGAGGAGGAGGGGGTCTTTGTGGATGACTATCAAGCGGTACGTACTCATTTTGCTCTTGTTTTTGTTGTTGTTATAATGATTTTATTTAATCAATATACTAATTAATTTATATTGTTGTTATGCTATCGTAGGTTGGGCCGGACGTTGATATCTACGACCAAAGATATTATGTCGATCAAGGACCGATTGATCCAACCGTGTTATACGACCAAGAAAATCATCGTTCAAGGGATGTTTGGAACGATCATGAGGTACTTATAATTTCTCATGTCTATATCTTTTTTATTTTGTTAACGTAAGTTAGTGGTTTGTAAATAAATTTGTTAATTGTTAATCACATTGGTTATTTTCAATAATTTAAAGCAATACAAAGTGCCACTTATTTAGATTCTTCATAAAGAGATGCATGCCTAAGGAAATGAGGTCTTAAGCGATCATTATGGTCCTCCCATTTCCTGGGAAAATCGGGTTCTAAGAGATCCTCGGATCCCCCCTTTTTCTGTCAAAAAGGCTGTGTTTCTAAGGAGATGTATACTTCTTCTAAGAGTCTAACGAGTGTACTTGTATCCTTTAAATTATTGAAAACACCAATGCGATTTAAAAAATAATATAATCGAGTATAATTTTGTGTACAAAATTAATTCTATCAAATGTTTCAAAATGCTATTCATTTATTTAGTTAATTATTTTAGTTAACTTAAATATATTTTTAGTAAATTATTTATACATTGTGAAAAACCTTGATTTTGTTAATTCTATGGTGTTTGTTAAAATAGATTTATATATATTTATAAATCATAAACTTATAGCGAAAGTTAATTTATTCGCTAGGAGGTGCACCGTATAGTCTGCTCTAGGAGTTCCGGCGCTGTGCTCCCATGGAACGACGCCATCTTGCCCTATCTTCAAAGGGCAAGGTTGGATTCTATTAGACATTTCGTAGGAATCAAGATCGACCGCCAGCTCATCACAGCGTTGGTGGAGAGATGGCGATCGGAGACACATTGCTTCAACTTCACCGAAGGCGAGTGCACCATCACACTGAAGGACATCGCCATCCTAACCGATTTGCCCATTGATGGCGATGTCGTGTGTGTGGACGATCACCCACCACCCTCAGATGTTGACGAGATGAACGGGTGACAGTATTTGATATGGACCACCTTGGGTTTGTTCGTGCCTGCAAAGGGAGAAGGAGATGACAAGGAAGATGGACGGGCACTAATGAGGACTCACCAAGTATCCATCACTTGGTTGACGAACGAGATCAAGAAGAAGCACGACCCTGCGCAAGATGGCTTTCTCCTCACGGAGGAAAGTGTTGAGGTGGATAAGGAGATCTATGCACGTGTTTACCTCATCGGCATGATCGGAGGGGTGTTCTTCCCCAAGAAATCCAACAACTTAATCAGCAATGGTTGGTTGAAGATCCTCCTTGGTCCATGGGAGGATATGGGGAACCTAAGCTGGGCATCCGCATGCCTAGCTCATATCTACCGCTCCCTTTGTAATGCAACTCCGAAAGCGGTAAAGGAGATTGATGGGGCGATGTTCATCGTCCAATTTTGGGCCTGGGAGCATCTTCCATGGATTGCTCCGGTCTCAGATCTTGACGCCGAATGAGCCGATGACCACCCCTATAGATTTCAAGCGCATGGTTGTAGGTAAACTTCTCATATCTCAATCAATTCTTAAACTTCTTTCGTACTACTTAATGTTAGCTGGTTATAACTTTGTATGTTTGTCGATTCAATAAGATGTCTTGGACAAACAACATGCGACAACATGCCGGGGCACAAGTTGGAAGAGTATCAGAGGAGGCTGGATCATATTTAGGAAGCAGAGTTAACCATCAATAAACATGTACTCCTTTGTGATTTTTTCCATTCCATTTGTAAATTTTTTTCAAAGACTAACTTTGTTTTCTCTTCTGTAGATCATATTCGATCCGTATCCTTACCGGGTCGTTCAAAATCACATCCACAAGTTCCTGATGCATCCCGGTCAATGGTGCACGCCAGTGCCACTCATTTGCCACTTTATTGTGGAGTGGCACTTGCCGGATCGATGCTTACGGCAATTTGGTCATGAGCAATGCTTGCCATTAGAAGTCCCTGCAAGCCAAAAGGCATTCCATGGGAAGGATTGTCGTCAAGGTGTTTCGAATTGGCCACATAAGTTGAGGAGCTTCATCGAGATTTGGAACAATAGGAGTGCTCATGAAATAGTCACTCCACCATCTGTGGTGCGGATGAGGTATCATGACCCATATCTAGAACAGTATCGAAAACAATCGGTCCGATACATGACGCCAGATGGTGCGACGGACGGTGTTTTGGTAAGAAATTTCTTGCAACAATTTGATCTATTCACTTTTATAGACATTTATGGTTAGTTTTTATCCAAATCCTTACATTTAATTGTCTAACTTTGTGAAATGGTGTGTTTCACGTTGACGACTCGAGCATATTGACTCCATGTCCCGTAGTGAGGAGTCTTTGGGTCTCCGAGAAGTGAGTCTCCTGCGGAGGATTACGAACAGTCTCCTTGCCTGTGTTAGAGAACGTGAGCGCGATCATCGTAGATACCCTCCTTTGCCTCCTGTGCCTACCCCTCGAGTATCTATCGATGTACCCAACCCGCCACCACCAAGACAAAGGAGACCAGACAAGAGCACACGGGAACGACCATTCGTGCCCGAGATCAGGCCGTTCGAGTCATGGCGCGTGCCATATCCTTTGGAGGCTGCTCAAGCTGGCGGCTCGAGCTCTTACCACGAGCCTCCACATGGCTCTTACCACGAGCCTCCGCGGAGTACTTACCATGAGCCTCCGCGGAGTTCTTACAACGAGCCTCCGCGGCCTTCTTTCCATGACGGCACGTCATCCGGTAGTTGGCATGATGATTCAGGCACGTCCGCTCACCGCGACTTCATACCCCGGCCTCAGTAAGGTTGGGCTACCTTTTGGAATGTCATCTGCAATAAAACGATAACTTAATTAATACCATAAAATTTGTCAATGTTAATCGTTAATCGCAAAGCAAACTTACAATAACAAGTAATACAAAACAAACTTACAACGTAACGTTAATCGCTATAATATAAAATACAAATCGCTAAAACAAAAACTTATAGAAGAATAGGAAGAGGGAAGAGGGGTGCAATTTTGTGTTTTCCGGGACGGCCTTTTATAGCAAAAAATTCCATGAAAACCGCCCCCTCCCCAAGCGGTTTTCACAAAACACACTCCCCACTCTAGCAGTCCCCTGCATGTCGACTGTTTTCCTGTCGGGAAAGTGGGGAAAACACATGAAAACCGCTCCCCCCAGGGCGGTTTTGGTGTCGACATTCAAATCGCTTCTCCATGAAACGGTTTTCACAGACCGCACAATGGGGGAGCGGTTTCTATCATGTTGACCTAGGGCAGCCTTCAAACCGCTCCTGGGAAGGGCGATTTGTTGCCCAAACTAAAACCGCTTCTTCCCAGAGCGGTTTCCAGTGAAAACGCCTCCCTTGGAGACGGTTCTTAGAAAAAGGTGGTATAAGTGGAATTTTTTTTTTGCATTGGGTGGTATTTTTGTAATATTGTTTTTTAAAATAGTGGTATTTCTAGAAAAATCCTTGTTTAAATGGTTACCATGTTAATTACCAAATCAAATAAGTCTAAAATTTATTAATTATGGAATGCAATATCATAACCAAACCGGTCCAAACTAATATAACAACCAAATTAACCAAACTAAAGTTTAATCGGTTTGGTTAATTGGTTAACCAGTATAACCTATATAACATACATTATTATTAACTGAGGAAATCTCTGTTAATGCATCAATTCACAATTTATATAAAGAATAAAACATAACAATCAACACATAGTTAACCCTTAAAAATATATGTAAGTAATGCAATTAGCAATGGTATGGGGTTAATGAATTGTTGTGTTTTGTAAATTGACTTATTCTCTTAGCAATTATGATAGGCTGAAATATACATTCCTTTCAAGTTTTCATCTAACATACTGTATGCGTTTTATATAAAATAGAAGTCCAGATGTTGTGGTCTACACTCTACAAATACAAATATACAGTATAGAAACAATATTGAACTTTATTTTTTATGAGACTAAGAGGTAGGAACGTTTGACACTTTAGTGGTTACACAAAGTATGAAATATGTGTATATAATATTATGAGATATATGTCTAATTACTTAACTGGTTAATTTAGTTTGACTGGTTAGAAATGTTTCAAACCAAACCAAACCACCTAAACCAACCAAGCTAAAAAATTTAACCAACAAACCGTTATCCAAACGAACCGAACCAAATTATCCAAATATAACCGGTTAAAATGGTTACCATGATAACCACACCATTTGAATACCCCTAAATATATGTCAATATATTTCACTTTTCAGTATTAAGAATTTCTGCTACCTCCTCATTTCTACTTGTCCGGCCTCGTTTCCACATCATCAGTCAGTTCAGATATGATAGTTTTTTTTCCATAGATAGCGTGGAAGTTGCAAAAAATAGTTTAGAGCATACTGCTTAACCAAATGCGACAATAGATAAATAATCCAACTGTAGATAAGAGATCGTTATTCACTACTAAATAGGCTAGCCTATCAAACCAACAAGGAGTAAAAGTACAATAAAATGACAAAAAATAACGAAAGCTGTAGAAATTCCTCCAAAAGAGCGCCTTCCAAAGCATGTCCCGTGCCACCACCATTCGCACAAGAGATTGACAGTCTCGTAAGGAAGGGGTTTGTCATACCTAGGTAGTACTTACCAATTGCAAACAAAATAGAACAGAAGAAAAAAAAGCCTATAAAGCCATCCTCCTCTTAGAGCTGCCTTCACGGCTCCATCAACAAGAATTCCCTAAGGGACAACAACCATCTTGATGATCCAGTCGAACACCTGCATTAGGTGGAGCCGCAGGATCCCGACCACGCCGTAACTCGAGTGGGGGAGAAGTAGCTCGCCACTCATCAACTTGACCTTCAAATTGTCGACGTAAAAGCATTGTCGCAACCGTTCCTCTGGGATCGGGCCGTGTTCGCTTTTGGAGTCGCCATTGATCTTACTTGGAGTGGATCAAACACTCTTCAGTCGGCTCTAACCTTAGGGTCAGAACCGAGACATGGTCTGCGATTAAGAGATATGGGTTCGGGAGTACGGTTACGTGTGGGGAAGTGAAATCACACCCCACAACGCCCAAATTTGGTACTACTTAAATTGATAAGTTTTATACGAGTTGGGTGTATTTTAGTAATTATGTATTTTTGGGTCCCACGGGACCATTAAAAAGTTAACTATACTGTATTAGTTCATGATTTTATTATACGCCCACTGGTGTTCGTTTAAAGATAAAAAATTTAGTTTAGTTGGACTCGAACCTTTATCGGTTGCCTACGTACCCGTAATACGCAATCGAAGTCCAAGTAGTTTGTTGGGTAACCTTGATAGTTTTAAAATATGACTTTTATCACGTTACACTTATAGTGGTTCTCGTATTAAGGATTTTGTTAAATTTGATAATTTTAGTTATAACTTTTACCACGTCCCGCTGAACGTAATTCTCGTATTATAATTTTGTTAATAAAATTTCATTTAGATTATTATGATGTTAATAAAATTTCATTCAGCAGCCCAACTGGTTAAGTCGCTATTTGGGGTACACACTTGATCCTGAGGACGAGGGTTTGAAACTCAATCACTACAATTTTTGTGATCATCGTTTTAGTTCAGAGACGGGGGAAGGGTAATTTCATAAATCCTCAAAAACATGGTGGCAAGGCGACGTAAATTTTAAGAAACCCTAGGGGGCAATTAAGTCATTTTAATGAAAAAGGTATATAACCATCTCTAACGAAACCCTAATTATGCCTAAACCTACAGCCATAGGCCACATCGACCGCCCTCTCACTTCATCTCCTCCCTCTCTCGCCCCTCTACCTCTCTCTCGTCTCAAACTTCATCGAACCAAGAAACTCTCTGGTTTCTTCCTCCACAACCGCCGCCCTTACCCCCTTCCTTCCCCTCGCATTCTCTCCGTCTCTCTAAACCGAGAG